TATATGAATAGTAGATGATGGATAGTGATGAATTGGGATAAAAAAAAGAAAGCTCCAAAAAATCAACAGCAAATAATGGGGGATCAAATGGGAAAAAAAATTAATTAGTGGGGATATAATGAGAATGAAAAATGCTTCAAAATGAATAGTACTCGACGAATTGGCTTTTTTATTATAGTAGGGATTTGTAATGCTAAAAATATCAAGGGAACCATGACCCATCACATAATGACACACACAAGGATAATTTTTTCGCATGATTGGGGTTGACAGGTTAAAAGAATTGCACGAAATTTAATTAAAAGGAATAAAACCAAAACAAACACCCACCTAACCCATTGAATTAAATTTTTTTTTTTAAATGTTGGAGTAAAAAGAGAGTGAAATAATTTCAAAAAGGAAAAAAGGAAACTTTATTCAATTATTCAGCCCTAAAAAATGTATTGCTGCTACTATCATGAAAATTAGCATATGTACGACATCCACAATAAAATAATAAAATAAAATATTTAAAAAAAAAACTAGCAATATCGATTTTTTATATAGTACATGTTGATCCAATCTCCTTTCTCTATCGAGGTTCCAACCCTTTGACGTGTATTGTGTCTTATTGAACCATTTAATTTAAAATTTTAACTTTATGAAGTGAGTTACATGCATATTATCTAAATATAGTATCAACTTGCCTCTCACGTGTACGAGGAATTCATTTTTTTCTCATCAAAAGTTTGATCTATACACAATCTCATCTAGTGGACGATGACGAGACTTGATGATGTCATGACATTTACTTGCTTTGTTACCGTATCGAACTACTTAGTAGCACTTGATTAACAATTTACAAAAAAAAGAGCAATAAAGTCCTCAGTGTTTCGTATTAGCAGCACTTGGGTTGGATAGTAAGGTTTGTAAAATAAATCCTTCTTTTCAAAGGTCAAGGACTACGGTAAACACGCGTTAAAAGTTGGGGACTTTACTACTATTTTCCCTTCTATTTATAAAGTATTATTACAAGACCAATTCCAGCTCATGTTACTCTCTCTCTCTCTCTCTCTCTATATATATATATATAGACATACACCTCACATTTGATTATCAAGAGCCATGAAGTTCATCCACATTTGCCTCTCTCTCTTCATCCTCCTCTCCATCTTCACCATTTGCAGATCTGTAAGTATTCTCCTTAGATCAACTTCGTATTCGTATTTCTCGAGCAATATATACAATCTCGACATGTTTTATACTGTCTAGACATGTTCAATACTAAGATGTTTCAACTTCGTGTTTATCGTACGTCATTTGAATAGTATAACATGTTAAGACCTATCAAGTAGTATGTATCAAATAGAAATGGTAATTTTCTTATCGGGTTTTGATTTGTGAAAAATATAGGATGATGCTGATTGTGTGTACACGGTGTATGTGAGGACCGGATCGACCATAAAGGCCGGGACTGATTCAAGTATTACCTTGACTCTCTATGATGCTAAGGGACATGGGATCAGGATCAAAAATCTCGAGGCATGGGGCGGGCTTATGGGCCCGGGCTACAACTATTTTGAGAGAGGCAATTTGGATATCTTTAGTGGGAGAAGCCCATGTTTGACCAGGCCAGTGTGTGCAATGAACTTGACGTCCGATGGAACCGGCTCGCGCCACGGGTGGTATTGTAACTACGTGGAGGTGGCGACGATTGGGGCCCACCAGCAATGTGCCCAAAAATTGTTCACGATTGAGCAATGGTTGGCTATGGATAAAAAACCGTATGAGCTCACCGCGATGAGGAACTCTTGTTCGTCGAATGAAAAGAAGCGTATGATAGACGGTCATGATTCATCTATGGTTTCTGTTATGTAAAGAGTCGTTTGGGCCTTTTTCCTTTTTACCCTCCTCCACTGTGTAAGTGAGGATTGTGTTATGTTTCTGAATAATATGCAGTTTGGATATTTTGTGCAAATGAGGGACCAACAATAGTGAACTGATACTCAATAATCCTTTCGGCCAAAAATATGATTGAAGTTGTCTTTTTGACTACTTGAGAGCATATTATTTGGTCAGTGAAATTATGTCCATATTTGGCGGAGATTAAAATTAAATTTTTACTATTTTTTGATAAAAGTTAATAAAATATATGGCTGAAAAGTCGTGAATTCCATGAAATATTTGGTTAAGATTAATTGTTGATTTAAATTAAATTCAGATTTTAGTTCTTTCCAAACAAGGGCTATTTAACCTATGAGGTTGCTACTAAAATGAACCTTAACCTTTAAATTCTTAATCTTTCACTTAATTGGGGCAATCGATCTTCATGGATGGTTCCATCCAATTAACCATTAAAATTGTCAAACGTTTAATATAAAAAATCAAAAAATAAATCCTACTTTAGTTAAATAAATAATATAAAATGAGTAACATTAGAAATATAAAAAAAAAAAAATCAACTTATCCTACCAACTAGTCCCCGTAAGCGTCTCTTCAACGCAATTGTGAATTATTTAAAAAATTGTGTCATAGAAGCAAAATAGAATGTATTTTAAAGAATTTCTTTGACTAATTTGGGACGGGAACGGGGCGGGGACAAGGATAAAGTTCTTGCCTTGAGTCTTATATAAGATGGGAATGGAGTACATGATCTAGTTGAAATTATGACCAGAAATTGATGAACATTAATACATTATGTAATCTTGGTTTTGCATTGAAATTATGATTTAATACCACCTAACCAAAAGAACAATGCTAGAAAAACATGGAATATTGACAGGGATCTCTTGACAGACACACTAGGAGAGAATTCATTGGAGGGTGGAAATTTTTTTAATCAAATAGGCCAATCACAATTTGCCACGTCATGTT